TCAGCAGATACACAATCAAACACTTCAATTATGTTCAATCTATAATTGAAGCCTATCCATAAGAGAGTGAATTATTTATGCCGAATAAAAATGTCTTCCTATAAAATAATTCGATATTGTGATCGTGCACAACTCTATGTATATAAGTTGTGAGATATATGTAAACAATAAAGAATAATAGTCTTACAATTACTTGTGATTCTTATATATTACATAATAAGGCTTGTTTGACATAATTTTTGAAAAGTCAAAATGAGTTTTAGAGACTCGAAATGAGTCAATTTTTTCTTTAATCTTTATTGAATACTCATAGATCAATCTAGCACAAGGTCACGAAAGATAAAAGATACCGACTTCATGAACTACATCCACAGAACCCTCTGCTATTCATTGTTCACAAAATGATTCACTTTGAATCAGCAATAACGTGATTCCCATTGAATGGACACGTTGAAAAGGAAAGGTAACTATGCAATTCATTTTCTTTTATTTGTGCACGCATGTGTCGGGGGTCGACTTCCCAATATAAGGATGGTGATACAACGTAGCAATCGACAATCAATTTCATCAGAATCACTATAGAAAAATTCCCAGTCCCATAATTTTTTTTTATGTTGCTGAGTTTCAAATTCTCAATAATAGAATTAGTAGTAGTGAGCACATGAGACGTAATACTCCATAATGTACAAGACATCATCCTTATCAATTTTGAATCAAGTCTGGACCATAAATGAACCAATCATTTCCACTCAGATTTCATTCAAGACATGAGATTTATTGCAGCTGCACCTAACCAATGAACATTGATCCATGCATCCTTTTAATCCAAATTTACAATGAACAGATGAGTCTAGAAAGCTGAAAGTTCGGACAGAAGACTACTTGGACGTTCATAGATTCTGATGATAAATAATCTACTTATTTCCTTTGTAGACAGTTAAAATTTTCTTCATAACACCAGAGCAATTGCTTGGTGAACAGAAAAAATTTAATCCTAAATGTTAGGAGAAGCTATCTACATTCCATAAGGGCTCCATTCATCCGGACTGGGACTTCCAGGCAGGGGTGAACGCAGACAATTAAAGTTGGGAAGCACAATCTCACTTGGAAAAAAGTTGGGAGAAATTTTACAATTGAAAATTTACATCCAAAAAAAGCATATCCCTTATAATTTTGCATCCGAAAATTTACATGGAATACGACTTTTTCGGATGTAAAATTTCGAAAATTTTTGATGTCATATTCCATATAAAAGTTCCTAATAAAATGATGAAAATTACATTGAGAAATTTGTATCGTAAAAATAATAAATGTTAATGAAATAATTAAATTTTTTT